TGTGTGTGTATGTATGAGAAGGGGCCTGGAGTGAGCATGGACACCTGTCTACTAGGAGCTGGCCAGAGAACAGCTTCTTCCCTGCAGCTGTCTGGTACAATGATTTCCTGCCTAGTTCAACATGCTGACTTATAGGTTAAAGCTATACTGCCTTGATATAATCCTCCAGCCTGGCCAGACCTTGTTATTGTCCTTCAGTATTGAAAAGAAATACCCCTTTAAACACCTGAAAGGAAATTTCCCCTCTTGAATACCTGAGCCAAAATTATGGCCCTACTGAAGTCAATAACAACAAAACCCTCATTGATTTCAGTATTTGAGGATTTTACCTCGGACATTTTTTTTCCAGACAAAAATGTTCCTCCTGTTTGGTCCCAAAGGGTTCACTGTGTGATGTTATAAAAGCACATTGGGAGTGATGCAGTACACAATGCCTTTATGAAACAAGGGCTTATAGTCTTAAGACATTTGCCTGCTGTCCTCCCATGGTGAATCTCTTGCTTCTGCTAGGTGACATTGCAACACAAGGGTTTTATGGGGAAAATTTCACCCTGCTGCTAAACATTAAGGGAGAAGTGGGAGAAGATAGTATCCTAATTGTGGGTAGGTAATTGACAGGTTAAAAATCACACCCCAAACATCACAGTAACAGTGAATGAATTTTTAGCTGTTGACTTACATTTTATCATGAATCTGTTTGGGGATTTCACTGAGCTTGGAAATAAAACAGAAGGAACCACATGATTCTGAGCAGCTGATTTCTCTGCAGTAGGTTGTATTTTTAGGGCAGTGTTGGGAATTTTTTTTTTGTTTTAACTCTTTGAAAAATCTTTTTCTCCCTTTAGACTGCATGAGAGATGTCATGGGCATAGCCCTAGTGGAGACAGGCTTTGCAAATATTCCTCATCTACCATGCCACTCATGTTGCTTCCATCCCTGGCAGGTTGATCCAGTTCTGAAAAAGCTTCACGACCGATACCGAGGACCAGAGCCATCAGACATGGTAGAGATGTTTGAGGGAGAGCAGTTCTTCGCAGCCTTTGAACGAGGCATCAATATTGATGCAGGTATGGTGGGGCTATGTTCTATTTCCCACTCCAGTTCTCTGCTAACAATGGTCATTTCCTTTTGCATTCACTCAAATGGTCTCAGGGGACATCGCTTAGGACTACTGCTATCAAACATCAGCAGTACAGCTCTACATGGCCCAGTTTCTGAGAATCAATGAGATGTTGGCACAGCTTGTTTTTAGTGCTCAAGTTTCCCTGTGGAATCACTTCTTCTAGGACCATTGTCTCTTCATCTACTGAGAGTCTATGTACCACAGATGGCTATAATCTGGTGTGATTAATAGGTTTAACTGAAGGTATAACCAGCTCTGTCCTCCCACTGGGGTCTCTGTTACTGGAAAGGAACAAAATCTCTTCAGTCACCTCAAGAGTCCATTTTTGATATATCATATATACAATGCCATCTCTGCTGGGGGACATTTCCTGAAACAATTTGGTACAGAGAGCTGCCTTTCTAGAATTTAAATATCTGTCTCTCTCTCCCTCACTGATTAGTTTTCAGGAGATGTAGAAGATGGAAAAAGGAACAAATCTACAAAGCTGTATCTTTGGGCATCAAAATGGCAAGAGCTTGTCACAGCTGCAAACTCTGAGCCAGGATCTGATTTCTGTTACACTGGTGTGACTCCATTGAAGACAATAGAGTTGCACTGCATTTGCAGTGGAATACATCAGAGTCTGGCCTACAGCCTTTGCTCCCTACCAGACACTGTAGCCTAATCCAAAGGGACCCAGAGCTCTCAAGGTTGCCCTTTTCCATAGGCATTTGGGAAAGATGACTACAGGTGTGCCAGTCTTAATGCTACATATAATGCCTTCCTTTTCATCTTCTCTTTCATTCATATTTTTTCCCACTGTGGAAACAGAACAGAGCTGAAATCACTTATTTTGTGTTCTCTGGAGTTATTTTGTAGTGGTTTTCCTCACTTCATTGATCTGTTCCTTGGAAGGGCAGGTGCCCTACTTATGCCTGGCATTTTTCCTTCTGTTTTCATTCCTAGGAACTTGTCCTCTTTCTGCTGGCCATTTTGCTCCTTCTCCCACATGATCTGCTTTTTCAACAGCTGGAGGGTGGCAGCCCCCCTTTCCCATAAGGGGCTGAGGTTGAGGCCTGACGAGTGGGAGGAGCTAGGTTCTATTCTGGAAGGTTGCTGGTGAAGGGGACATGCTCTCCTATGCATTTATGTCTGAATTTTCCTGACTCCAGACCGCCCAGACTGCATGGATGGCCGGCTCTCATTCATCTTTTACTCCCACTTAAAGAACATGAAGGAAATCTACGTGACCTCTGCAATGGATAGGAAAGACCAAGCTGTGAAAGGCCAGGTGAGCATAGACCTTCTTCCCTCACCCTTATTTCTTTTTTTACCATCATCACCTTGTACACGCTGCGCTTTGTCACAGCATCCATTCTAGGGACTGACCCATAAATGCAGTGACAGGAGAGTGGAATGAATCCAGGGTGTTGCCTGTGGTCGTCTGATCTTAAGTGTCTGCCATTAATGGGTGATCTTTAAGCAATAAAGGAGGGGCAGCTGGACTTTGTGTTACTGTAATCAGAGTGCAGTCAGACTGCAGTGGTGCTCCAAATGGGAACTGAATGGTATCCTGTCGGGACCAAGTTGAAGATCAAATGTGAAACTCTTAACATCTTCCTTCCCAATCAGAAAGTACAAATTACAAAGAAGCATGGCTTCTGGGATGGTGTTTGGGTTCTTATCCTGTCCTCTCCTTTGCCTGCAAAGGTCTCCTTCTATCGAGGAGCAGTTCCAGAGAATGTGCCCGAAGATGCCAGCAGGAGGAGGAAAGGGCCTGATTCCCACTGGCTGGCTACTCTGCCAATCAAACTGCCTGTGAGTGTCTTTGTCTCCTAAATACAGGGGGGTATTTATGCCTATCCACTAAGCTTGAGACTGTCCTACTTGGCCTTGTGAATAGGAGTAGACAATGGAGAAGCAGAGATGTCTACTTAAAGCATGTGGTGGACAGGGAAAATTTTTGTGTGTGTCTATGTGTGTGTGTGCACGTGTGAGAGAGAGTGTATGTATGTGGGCCAGGAGAGGTATGGGATGCACTCACATCTTGAATGTGTAAGGTAGTGTTATGGTGAGGTCACTTGAAGATTATCAGCCCCAACTGCAGGAATCATTTAAAAATCCATTATATTCCCCTGGACACTTCCTATGTGGATGTGCATCTGTGTGCTTTCCCTTCTTCTCCCAAGGAGATATGTACACAAATAAAAAAGTACCTGATCACTCCCTTCCCTCTAAACATCCATCTTCCTGCCTTGTTCCATTCACAGAGATGCTGTAGTCAGTGGTGGCCAACCTGCATCATGGGCATCATAGTTGGCAAAGGCAGCCTGTGTATGTCTCATGGCAGATGAAGGAGGGAACAGGCTTCACAGAGTCAGATAGGGCAGGAAGCAGAAAGCAGAGCAGCAAATTGGGCAGGGAGTACAAGGAAGGAACCAGAAAGCAGAACAACAGTTCAAGAAGGGAACACAGGGCTGGGAGCAGAAAAGGCAACCTATAGGACAGGGGAAGGGGATCAGAATGGCATTTGGAGGGTACAGGACTAATTTGTGGCATCTCTGCCATAAAGGTTGGCCCCCACTTCTGTAGTCCAAGGCTGGTCTTGATTACAATGGCAAGTTGCAGAGAACTGTCATGTGGTTGGGTCTTTTTGGTGTGGGAAGGGTTGATTATTTTTTCCCCCTCTGAATGAAGGAACTAGAGGGGGAGAAGAAAACTATCTAGAACGAAGGAAAGTTTTTGTCTTGCATGCAGATCCCTTGATGATCAGCTTTGTGAGGAAGGGAAAAGTCTAGTACGTGGCTGTTCAATGGAGTTATGATAAAGCCACCGTGTTCAAGTGCGCTGCCAGGAGCCATTTATCCTTAAAGGCAAACAGCCAGCCAGCCCAGGCAAGTGTCAGAGTAAGGAAAGTGGTCTTGTACGGTGGACTTCTGTTTCTATAGCCTTGACTTGGGGTCTAGACCAAGTGTTGTCTCTTAACAATGAAGTAAGTGAACTCAAGAGACAATTGTTAATGAAAGATGGAGAAAGAAAGAGTCTGTGAGCTGGAAATGTGGGCCTAGAAGGTTTGGCTTTTTTCAGAGGTACCAAACACTCACAGCTCTGGCTGTAGTGGAAATTCAGGCTGTTTGGCACTTTTGACAGTTCACCTCCTTGCTCAGAGTGGGGAAGTAAAACTTGGTGTTGGAAACTAAATGAGGTGGGGCTGTCCCTTTAAAAAGAAGCTGTCTTAACAGGGGGCATTTCTGTCCTTTTCTACTCAATAGAAACTGAAATTGCGCCAGGGTGATCCCTCAAATGGCTTCTCCTTTCCTCCTCTGAATCTGGGGAATGAAGAGACCGGCTACCTGACGCAAGCTAATCTGCTTAGCATTGCCAGGCGCATTGGAGCTGACTGGCAGACCATTGGCTTGAACTTGGGGCTGACTTATCAGCAGATTGAACGGATAGGGTACAACAACAGGTGAGGTGTGTGTGCAGGGATCACTACAGTGACCCTTCAGCCTAGAATGCTACCAGCACTGGGACATCTTGGATCAGGCTGGTCAAAAATTTTCCCTCATATTTTTCTTTTTCTTTTTTTTTTTTTTTTTTGCTTCACAAAAAGCATCTGCTTTTCATGGAAAATCCTTATTATTTTTTGTTAGAAAAAGAGAGATTCTGCCTGAAAAATGGAGTAGTTTGATTTGGAGATGTTGCAGCATCTCAAAGGAATGACAGTTCAGATGCTTAGTATTCCCATCTCCTTTATGGGTTGGGGTCTCAGGCTGGACCATTTGAGTGTTCATGTAATATTTCCTCCTGCCATGAAGGTAGTGTAAGGAGGTGCTCAGCTTACAGAGGGCTAAGACCCAGTTGCAAGTTAGGGGTTAGGAGTCTGCATGGCTGGAAGGCTGAGCGCCAGCTGCAACCGATGACCAGTAAATGAGGGTGGAGCTAAAGAGCAGATTAATAGCTCCAGGAGCAGAGGGCATGGAGAGAGAGAGAGGAAAGGAGGCTGGTGTGCTAAGGGAAAAGCACAGAGTCGGGGTTGCCCCTTTCTGGGTCTGAAGAAACACTACAGTTTGGGTTTTGTTTGCTATTTGCATCCTTGCTTATTTTATGGTTTGCTTTATTTGCTGTGGGGACAAGGTTGCTCCATGTAAGATAGATTGATTGGAAACCTAAATTCAGAGCTGACTGGCCTTAATAAGGAATCTGGGTAAGTGACCTGCTTACAGGTATATTGTGGTGCATCGTGGGGGACGCAATTTGGGTTTTAGGCCTGGTCCTGCACTAAAGTAAATGTCCTATAAAGTACTGGCCAGGCATGGTGGCTTTATGATTTCTGTGCTTCTCGTTCTCCGCAGGGAGGACCTGGACAGGCAGATCTTGAACATGTTATTCTCCTGGGCCCAGCAGAACTCTGAGGACCAGAACTGTGTGGAGAAGCTGGTCATAGCCATGAAAGAGAGTGGCCGCCAGGACATTGCTGATGAGATTGAGGCTATTATTGACCTGGGGAGGCAAAAATACAGAGAGTCCATCCGTCGGGTAGGGCTGGACCAGGGAAGCAGCACTGAAGACTCTGCAATAGCTATGGTGTAGCAGCCAGCAATAGGAACTCTGCTTCCTACTGTGGTTTCCTACCTTGTGCACTGGATAACATGGCTACTCTGACGATTCCCAGTGGAGTGGGTGCTGTGAGCACCTACTGCTGATCCACTATGCTCTGCTGAGACTATGCTAGTATGTGATTTCTGTGAAGTTCACACACCCCAAGTCTGTATGTATTTCAGCATATGGAAAAAGACCTCGGACTGTCATACCCTGAGTTCGGGGATTCTGGCTTTAGGTTTTAGAGACAAGGAGAAACTCAGAGCCTCAGACACTGGCATTTAAATAATAGAGAAAATAGCTCTTAACATTCTTTTGTTGCAATATATATTAGAGGTGCACTGATTTATTGGTGCCATAATAGATTGGCACTGATAAAAGGAAATTTAACGTTATCAGCTATTGACTTTTCTGGCCAGTGTAGCCAATAATGTCACCGATAAATATAATATGCCTTCTGGCCGGGGCCTCCAGATGCCACACGCATGCACATGGCCAGGAATACAGCCGGGCAGTGTGGAGAGCAGCACCCTGCCAGTAAGTCTGTGGAGGGGAAGGGACATGGGAGAGGGAAGGGGTGTGGGCCAGGCAGATTGAGTCCCCCCGGTCAGGGGCAGGGGCTGGGGATGGGGGCACTGCCCAGCCAGGACAATGAATGGGACCCTGGGCTGGGGCAGGGAGTGGGATGAAGCTATGGGGAGCTCATCCAAGGGGTGTTGGGGGAGGAGTAAAGGGGGGCAGCTCCCAGCTGTTGTGTGCAACCATGGAAGAGGCATGGGGGGGCATGTGCCCCCCCGATTTATGCATGGGGCGAGGGCAAAGGCAGGCAGCTCACTACGGGCTTAGGGCTCTCTATCCTGCTGCCTTTGCCCTGGAAGCTGTGTGCTGGCCTCAAATCCCCTGCTCACTCATCAGTAGTGGGGGCAGCAAACTATGCCTCCCACTGCTGGGCAGGCAGGGAACATGCAGCCAGCGCCCCTTCCCTCGCAACAAACTTACCAGATGGACCCAGCTCCTCTCCATGCTCCCAGACTGTGCTCCTGGCCACCTGCATGCTGCACTGCAGCTGTATGCATGCATGGATCATTTATTAGTCACATCAGCCAAAAAAAGCCCATTGCTAATACAGTCAATTTTCCTTATTTTGGTCCTGATCAGATATGGGACCAATGTATCAGTGCACTTCTAGTAATTTTTTCTCATTTATTCTGCGTACCCCCTACAACCTTTTTAAGTACCCCTAGGGGTACACATGCCTCCAGTTGACAACCACTGGGTTAAAGGATCCGTATTGGCCAACATGCCTGGTGAATAATCAGCTATGTCTGTTCACCAGAGCGCCCCAAGGAAAAACAAGGACCAGCTCCTCCGAGACCAATTTAGGCTGGACATAAGGAAAAATTTCTTTACTGTCTGAGCCCTCAAGACCTGGAATAGACTCCCTCCAGAAGTGGTCCAGGCACCTACTCTGGACTCATTCAAGAAGTGTTTGGATGCTTATCTTGCTGGGATCCTTTGACCCCAGCCGACTTCCTGACCCTGAGGCAGGGGGCTGGACTCGATGATCTTCGAGGTCCCTTCCAGCCCTAACGTCTATGAAATCTATTGGTATTGGCCAAGAAAATCTTTATTGGTGAACCTCAAGTATATATTTATGAATAACTTCTGCCTAAACCTGCATTCTGCTGATGAGTTGGGATCTGAGCTTTTCTACACCTCTCTGTAGTGTATGTCTATTTGGGCCCTGGCAAATGTTACATTTATTGCACAATTAATGTGTTAATTATGCAATAAATTGTAATATGTCACATGTTCAGCTAACTTAATGTGTGATAAACTGGCAAGTAACCACAAAGATGTTCTACATTTAATGTAATGTGGAACACCTTTGCTGCTGCTTTGTATAGCACTTATTAATTTGAATGTGTCGCATGCAACCCAGCATCTGGCTGCACAGTGTAACTTCAGATGTCTCTGCATGGGGCACTGATGCTTCAGTGGGCAGCTCCCAAGTCCCCAGCTGTGCAATTCTCAGCAGACATTGAGCCAGCTGCATGCAAGCTGGGGTCTGGGGAACTCCCCGTCCACAGCTTCCTGCACCCTAGCTTGCGTGCAGCCAGCTGCACACCCTAGCAGATGCACAATTCAACCTAAAGATTTTTATCCCAGATCCCAACACATCCTGCCATGTCAGAGTTTGAGTGTCTGGCATAGCAGGGTGCAGAATTGTTGTGATTCAGGATAAAATTCCTCAAATCCCATCATACAGTTAAATTTAATGTCTGCCAGGGGCTTTTGTGTTCCAATGTTTGATGCAAATCTGAAGAGGGAATCCCCCTGTACTACCTTTTTACTATGATCCTGTCAGCTCTCCCCAGCTAAGAAGGGCAAGATTAGGTCACTGGCTTGGTGGGGGATCTATAGTTACCTAATTTAACTGCCCCTATGGGCACTTTACAGTCTTTGAGTTGGAGAACTCAGTGGAGAAAATTTTTACTTTCAGCTGTTTTCCCCATCAAAAAAACAATCAATCTTGAAATGTGGCTCTCATGAGGTCCCTTCCAGCCCTAAACTTCTGTGAATCTGTGTCAAAGAAAACTAGGCAATTTTGAACAAAATCAAAATTTTCATATTCAAATATCTATTTTTCATCAAAAACTCTACTGAAGATTTTTGCCCACTTCTCTCAGGTGCTGTGGGTGGGAGGTGATGTGTCTTTTAGAAGATATGTGAGCTCTAGCAGCAGCAGCTTAGATTCCTTCCTACTTCCTGCAGAAAGGTAAGAGCCATAAGCCCACTGTCTTGGCCACATTCTGGCTTGGATTATAAATTATGCTTTGTCTTTTGAGGGGAAGCTTCCTTTGCAGTTTCAAACCATATCCCTCACTTCCCATCTTAAACTGGACTCTGCACTGGTAACTATGCTGTGTTTCAGCCCAGGGCCAGCAGCACTCATTCCTGTGCAGCAGCATTTGTAGAATACTTTGGGATGAACAGCACAACATCAATATGGTGTTTTCAAAGCTGTCGGCTATAAAATAGGAGATACTGGATCAATCATCAGTCTTCCCAATCTAAACATCCTATAAGCAACTATAAAAGTCCATTGCCTCTTGACTTCTTTGCCATTGATTCTTGACTTCCCCTCTCCTCCAATCCATCTCATAATGAGCCTGAACTAATGCCCCTTAGGATCAACGGGAGACTGTACATCCCTGTACTTTTAAGAGTGGCGCATTGAGGACTGTTTTGGATTCAATGCATTCCGCTCCCTGAGCATTACTTGAAGGGACACTAATGGCTAGAAGATCATGCATCTGTCTGAAAATATTGTTTCTTCTGTGGTCACAGATAATGCTGTGGCTAGAAGGTAGAAAAAAGCAATGATTTGCCTTTTTTCAGTTTTCTTTGTGCTTTGTCATTTTTGATGATTCCCCTATCTAGCCAATTTCAGACTGCTGTGAAGGCCCTTTGTAACCATGAATAATAAAGTAGAAAACGCTTAATCTTAGGATGTGACCTATAGCGGGTGCTAGGGCATAAGACAGGAGTTTGTGAGGTCAAGGGTTCTCTCCTTTGCAAAACCACAGGTTTGCTGGATGACCTTGAGACAAGTTCTTCCTCCTTTCTCTGTGCCTCAGGCCTCTGCTACACTTACATTTAGTCATCATCATCATTCTCAGCAGTCCCTCATGGTCAAAAATGGGGTATCAGATCAAGAGTGGTCCAACACAACACAAAGACCTCAACAGTGAAGCAGGCGGATGCAGAATGCAAACTTCTCAATAGCTGCAAAGGCGGATGAAGGCTGCAGTGGAAGAGTAACCCCAGTTGTCTTGCATCTCCTTGCCACTGGAAACGGGCTTCTCCTCTGCCATGTGGTTGCCGATGCACATCAGCCTGCTCATGTAAAACAGGTCACGCACGGGCTTCTTCCACTGGTACAACATCTGTTCATCTACAGCACTTTACTTGACCCATGGGAGTCGTCATCCTGTGTTTCTTGATCCTGCTTGCTCTGTTCTTGGAGTCTGGCTTTTGGCTTTTCCCTTGGATTTTGTAATTCAGCCTAATGCCTGAATAGGGTTGCCAACCCTCTAGGATTGCCCTGGAGTCTCCAGGAATTAGAAATAAATTTCCAAGAGACTGCTGAGAGTCACCCAGGAGATGAATGCTAAGGCATTCATTAAAATACATATTAAATATTGAATTGGATTTATATAGTAGGTCAGTGGATTTTTAAAATGTAATAGTAATGTGCATTTGCCTTCCTGATGTAAAGTCATTCATGTCACTACGTCATGTGATGAAACCTCCCGGAATAGATTCAAAGACTTGGCAACCCTACCCCTGAACTTCAGCTTGGCTTCTGATTCGAAGCTTGCCCCAGGATTTCTCTTGGATTTGGTAACTTGGTATCTGTTTCATAACCCTGGTTTGGGCCTTTGTTTTGAGTTCTTCCCCATCTCTAGCCCTCCTCTAACCACCAGGAAAGACCACCCACAACCCTGCCTGTTACAATTATTCTGTCAAACTAGAGTTTTATATTGCTGAATGTTTGTGTTACCTAGTGGCTCCATCCAAGATCAGGCTTTCTACAAACACATAATTTGCAATCTAAACAGACGAAATAAAGGATATAACAGAAAATGGGCACCCACAGTAAAGTGACTTGTTCACAACTATGCACAAGAGTACCAGGAAAGTCAGGACAAGAGCGCAGGTCTTTGAGGTCCCAGCCTGAGCTCTGTGTGCTAAGCCACTCATGTTTCACCGGTCACTTTCAGAGAACTTGCATTAATAATTCTACTTTAAAACAGTTGTTAGTATTGTAATATTGTTGCCCTGGTTTTATCTGTTCTGGGGAAGTGTTTGCTCTTTGCTCCAGTTTTGGAGAGATGTAATGGGCATATTGCCCTTATTTGTAATAAAAGAAACTAATTCCCTTGTATCTTCTAAGTGTTTGATGTTTAACAGTTCAATTTGGGATGCAGTAGTGGGCAAAAGACTTATCTTTGGAATATGCATCTATTCTAGAAGGGGTATGTTGGGCCCTGCCATCACTATAGATGGCTTTGTTGGGGATCTGGTTACACCATGTGTTTGTCTGCCAGAAGAGAGTAAATCGTGCTTTGCTCTGTTTCTCATCTGTGTGATCAATGCATGAGCTGGTCATATGTTCTAATTCAGCTCCATCTATGCTATTGGCTCATCACTAGAAAGTTCAGTTGTGTTAGGACATGATTTGGAGGAGCGGTGTTAACCAGTATAATGCTAGGAATTGTCAGGGTCACTGGGAAGTGGTATTTCCTTTGGTAGGTCTCTTTTTGGGGGGTGGGGAGGTTGTATTTTCTTTAGATTTACCTGTTGCCTTGGATTTATCTTAGAAGAAGCAGGAAAGTACACTTTGTACTTGAGGAGGTGGTAAAGTTTTTACAGGTCCTTCATTTTCTTAAAACTGTCCCACACCCTCAGCTCAACTCTTGAGAAAGCTAAGCTTTCTCATAGATGGTGTTTGTAGTAGTATCAGGCTGATTTACTGTGACACTCTGAGGCATGTATGTAAGACAACCCTGTTTCCTAATGAAGACAAGGCCTTTGGGTCTGTCTTTATTACAGTTATGTCTGGGAAATTCTAGCCCAAACGTGAACAGTCACACAGCAAAGACATCCCTACAGTACCATGTCTGGATTGATGCTGCATATATCCTTCTTAATTGCCAGGACTTTTTGAAGGCATCTTCCAGGGCTCTTTGTGCTGCAGTAAGATCAGTCACTCAAGGATTCTTTCCCACTGGGTTGTGGGAAAACATTTTGGTCATCCTAGACACCTGGCAGAAATTGTGGGGAAAGTGTTGGAGGCTTATCAGCGCATAGGTGGATCCGTAGGATTATAGGAAAGTAGGGCCGGAATGGACTTGGGAGGTCATCTAGTCCATCTCCCTGCTCAAGGCAAGATATTCCCTGATAGGCCTGTGCAAGTTGGCAGCGATCCAATCTGGCTTTGGATCAGCCGCTTCGGATGGCCGTGATCCGATCTGGAGCTCCGGACCGGGTTTCCGCCTCAATCTGGACCAAGCGGCTCCAAAGCTTCGGAGTCGCCTCTGAGATCTGGCCATAGGGTATAATGGGAAATCAATTAAATATCTGTAAGTTTGTTGGTTTTTGTTCGATATGGATGAAAATTGCAGGATTGGTAGCCTCTGCTGAGAGCATGAAACTTACCAAGTTTCAAGAAGATCGGTGCAGGGTTTGGGGGGAACTGTACTCCAAATTCTTGAAAGACAAACTCCCGTCACGGCTGTGTGTTACAACACAGCCTGGTCAAAACTGCAGAGCTGGTAGCTCTTACTGAGGCCACAAAGCCTG